AAATCTAACTCCCCATAAAAGTTGGATGACATATTCAAACTAGAATAATTTTAGGAGTTTGATAAAAGGGATATTTACAACGATGTGGAAAACGTGTAAAGATAACATCATAAAGAAGAGTGTAGCTCCAGAACAAAGTGTGTTCCATTACTATCTATAGGCTTAAAGAAGCTAAGGAAAGGAGTGGGTGGTTACCAGAATCTGAAGAGAGGGATGTGTCTTGTTCTCAGCTTACTTTTAGACTCTAAGCTCATTCTTAAAACTCACTCACTCTTTTCCTTGACCTCTATTTTGCTGTACCTTCTTTATCTTCTTCCCTCTAGCCTCAGATATACTGGGAATTTATAAATCTGTAACTCTCCCAAGTTTCTCTTCTTAGCCCCAGATCCGTATGTTCAGTTGCCTTAATATGAATGTTTAGATATCCCAGAGGTTCTTCAGTCATCGTGTCCATACAGAATTCATCATTTTCCCTCTAAAAAGTGGTTCCCCAACCAAATACCTCCCTCCCCCAACCCCAGGATACAGTACTGCAATGTACCCACTAACCAAAGCCAGAGACCTGTTGTAGGGGTGGCAAACAAAACCTATTTGTCTCCCCTACCAAATTGCCAAAAGTACTTCATGTTTCTATTAGATTACCCTACTGCTCTAGCCAAACAAAATTATTTGTAGGCATGCTATATTATACTTCTGTGCCTTTGCACAAGGTTTCTTTTTCTTAAGAATGTTCAGTTGTTCTTCCTTCCTCTTTAGCTAACATTCTTTGTCCTAATGATACTTCAATACCAGGTCAAGTTGTACTCCCTCTGTAAAATTTTCCTTTTGGTTTTTCTACCTTTCTTACGAAGACCCCACATATCTGTGAATACCTCAAATATAGTTCTTTAAAAACTTTATTTATTGATGTTTAAGTCTGTCTTCCCTACTGAACTATAAGTTCCCAGTGAACACAGAATATTATTATTCTCAGCTCCTAGCATAACTATTTTACCCATGAGGGCCTTGGGTCCTTCTGTAAATGGGGACAAAAAAGAAAAAAACACTGCAGAATTACTATGAGGATCATAAATATCACATGCCTGGCAAGGAGCTGAGAGTAGGCAGGCACTCACTAATTGGTGGATATTATTATTATTGTTGAAAATAAATGTGACAAAATCATTTCATGAAGAGGGTTATACTAACAAAGTGAACGTGCATATTGCCTTGTAAAAACTCCAAGTAGCCCAGTTAGCTTAGAAAATAGAATAAACATTAAGAACTGATGAGAGAGAAGTCTGTAAAGTCCAGAAACAGACCCCAAATGGCCTGTTATCCTGCTAAAGAATTTGATCTTTTACCTGAAAATAGCCACTGATGTAAACGGCAAGGGATATGATAAAATTTTCACTTTCCATATGACTCTGGTAACACTAAGATTGGAAAAATACTTAGAAGTTTGATGCAACAATTCAGACATAAAATTTGAGGGCCTATAATGGGACAAGGACAGGGACAAAATTATTCGAACAATATAGATTGAGAGGACTATATTTGGATGTTGTGAGTGAGGGAACTCTTGAATTGTTAAAGTCTTCTTAGTTTAAGATTCAGTCAACCCAATGATTGAGTTAAGTGGGAGATGACTTCAATTAATCATATAGTGAGTCTGAGGTGTCCATAGGGCCCTCACTAGAAACTCCAGAAGACAGTCTGAAATTGGAATTTGTAGTATAGATGCTATGAGCACTGTGGTATGAGCATCATTACATACAGGTTGAAGTGGTCTAGAAGAAAAAAACCTCTTAAGGACAAACCAATAATTAGGAAACTAAAAAAGCTGAGCAGAGTTCTCTGGCAGGTAGGAGAAAATTGGGAGAGTAGAGTCAAGGAAACCAAATTAAAAGAATTCTTGAGAAGACCGATGAATATTAAATACGGTGGAAAGGTCACACAAGATAAACTGAAAAGTGACCACTGGATCCGACATTTGTTAACTTCCCATTAAGCTGCAACAGAATGTGAAAAAAGTGATGGTTTTGCCATGGGTGATCAAATATAAAATAAATGAGTTGAACTCACCTTGAAGGATACACATTTTAAAATACTAAACATGCCATTAACATGAATTTGATAAAATGTTAAGTTTAATCTATTTTCATCATATCCTAGAAGGCTTGGAGACTTAAGTTCAGGAGCCAATTGGTTCACCACTCCTATCACCAAATGGTACACAAATTCTACCATTTTGTCATATACAGTTGACCCTTGAACACGTGTTTGAACCATGCTGGTCCTTATAAGCATTTTTTTCCAATAAATACTATAAAATATATTTTCCTTATAATTTTTTAGCTTTATTCTTTTTTATTGCATGACATACCAGTATGTGAACATACAGGTATTTATTTCATCACAGATTTTTCTTAATAACATTTTCTTTTCTCTAACTTTATAGTAAGAATACAGTATATAACACATATAAACATACAAAATACACATTAATCATCTATATTATCAGTGGTAAGGCTTTCAGTCAACAGTAGGCTATTAAAGTTTGGGGGGTGTCCAGTTATTTAAGGATTCTCGATTGGGTAGGGTTGTGACCCTAACACTGCCCCACACACTATCAATGACCAACTGTATTTTTGGTGGGGAAGGCTGGAGGGAGCGATATTATACCGAATACTTAGGCCTTCATCAGAACTTAGCCATCCACCATCACACCCTTGTAATAACATCAGTCTGGAGAGTCCAGCCTTTTAATCACTCAGACCATCAAATTCCCAGAACGCCCGGTGGTCATCCTCCAACCAAACCACAACTGCAATCTCTGCGCAAACCACCAGCCCCGGCTCCCTGAACCTCCAGGAGCTTCAGGTCCGTCCCCTACTCCTTGCCTTGAGCTGGCAGGGTACGTGGTGCAAGCCGAGGGAGGCTGCTGCTGCTGCTGCTCCGGTCGCCTGCGGCCCCAGACGTGCCAGCTGGTGTGGCGGCCGAGGTCTTAGCTGAAGGGTGGCTCTGGGGTGTCTCCTGGATCCCGAAATTGTAGCGGGGCCCTTGTGACCGAGCCTCTAGGGATGCGAGGGAAACAGCAGGAGCAGAAGGTGAGGTTGAAGAGATCTCAGGCCTCTGCATCTTCACAAACCTCAGGTGCCAGGGTGAGACTTCTGAACGGGCCCTTAGCTGTGAGAAAGAAGCAACGCAGGGAAAAGGCGGGAGGACGTCGCGCAAAGGCACGCACGGAACCAGAGCGCAGGCGCAAAGCCGCAGAGCGCAGGCGCACGCGCACAGGACTCCAGCTTTCCATACCCTATTCCCTATACGTAACTAGTGTACACCACTGTGGGATTTGGTTATGGCCTTTATCTGAGGTACAGCACTCCTCAACATGCAGTTTGTGATATCCTGCATGGAGGTAACCTACCAATGACCAATTTGGTAGTCCCATTATTCACGTAGCACCCTACTTCCCATATCCCAAGGCTTAACATGTCCCATGTACTCCCAAATACACTAGCTCCTTTTTCATGCTTATATTTTATGGTACAATCCGTCTAACATGGGCCTTGTGGCTAAATACAGGGAAGAGCAGTTAACCTCTTAAGTGTAAGCATCCACAAGGTCACTAGCACTGCATGACAGTCCTTCAACCAGTAAACAGATGGTTCTGTACACAGTATAATACGAACCAGGCAAACAATGGATCTCTCCTGGGACAGTTTTAAGAACAGATTCCAATCTACTATTGAGGTTTCATACCAGGGACAGTTTTAAGAACAGATTCCAATCTACTATGGAGGTTTCATACCTGTAATTCAGTTAGGAGCAGCCTACACAACTTCATACTCTAGCTTTTCAACAAATAATCTTTTGGAAACTATGTATCTGTTCAGTTTTCTTGAGTATGGAAAAAGTACCAACTTCATAAAGATGATAGGATTGAAAAAATTCTTTTGATACCCCTAGGTATCCTTTGAAAATATTGAACGCATGCAATTATCATAAATCGGGTACTCACAGAATAGTTCAACCACAGGCAATGACAGCAGCCCTCCAAACACTTCCTATGCCATTCAATGTTCTACCTAATGACTTGAAAGCTTTCAGAAAGATTGCAATTTAGCCAAAACTCTTCAAATTAGTTACCTGTCAAAATACTCCTAGGCATTCCAATGATTGATCTAAGTACCTATATTCAAAATGTTAAAATTGACACTGACCAATGTGTGTTCTGTGAATACCCATGTGCAAAATCACTTAAAATGACCAATACAAAGTATTGCAAACACATTTGAGAAATTTCAAATTCCACCTCAAGAAAAATATTTTTCACCGAAAATGCAACACTCTTGAGAACACTTGTGTTCATTTCAGTCTTTCCAAAAAGACACAAAAAGTGCTGTCAGGCCCCGATGGGTGTGGCTTAGTGAGTTAAGCACTGTCCCACAAAAGGTTATTGGTTCCACTCCTGGTCAGTACACATGCACGGGTTGCAAGCCAGGTCCCCCTCTCGGGGCATGGGAGAAGCTAAAGATCAATGTCTCTCAAACATCCATGTTTCTCTCCCTCTTATTTCCCCTATCTGAAAATAAGTGAAATCTTAAAAAAAAATATCGTGGCATCTATCTTTTAACAAAATTATTGTGGCATCTGTCTATCTCAGGAGGGTGGAAAAGCCAACAATCCCTCAGTAATAAATAGCTGCCACTCTGCCATAAAAGAATTAAAAATTATAAAAGTGCAGTCCGAGTTGCAATCATATTCTAAGATGGTGAACTGTCATTTACCTAAGTTACTATGACCACTTCAGGGTAACCATAAGCACTCGAAATAACTCCCAGACTTCAAAAGCCATTTATTTTTTGCATCTTTTAATTCTTATGTGGGGCTTATCAATTTGTATCAGTTAACAATCTCATTGACACAGATCAATTTACATGAATTACTATGTAACAAATGAAGGGAACACAAACTAGTTTTTAAATTACAGATTACCATTAGGAAAATTTAAATACATTGAAGCATAAACAAGATAGACCTTTATTTTACAATATGTATAATTATACAATTTATTAAAATCAACACAATCATATATAAAATATTAACATAGAAGTCACTTTAAGTTTGATAAGCATTTTGAATACAGAAATGTTAGGATGACAAAATTATACCAAGCAACTTTTACATCAATAAATCTAGCTCACTAGTTCAGGTTGAACATTCACTCTCCGAAGTACTTCTTCAGGCATGCAAAAAACTGGGCTGACAGGTTTAATTTGTTCTTCTCCCAAAAGTGACAATCCAGCAATTCCAAATAAAGTATGAAAAGGATCTACCTATTTAAAAAAATGAAAACTTAGTGTTACAAAATGAAAATGTCTAAAGCCCTGCTTCTGAATGACAGTTACCTATACTGGAGCTCACTTTATTTCCTTTGAGTGTACGCTTCAAGTTTTCTTAATAAAAATGGCTTCAAATTGTGATGTTAACCATACATCATTTTGGCAATGTGGTAAGAAATTTCTGAAAACTTGTTTTATATTCTTTGTAGTCTCAAAAATTACCCCAAATAGCATCTTGCTTTCAAAGCAACACTTGAATATACCATCCATTTCTAAGCCTGGAATAGCTTAGAAACATACAATACAAAACACTGAAATGTAACTGTTACATCATGTCAGAAATATACTTGCCATATCTCCTGGCCTGTCTGCAAATCCTCCAGTTTCTTCATCTTGACATGCTAAGATGAAGCTACGCAGTTTCTCTCTATCAATCCAATGAAGCCTTCCAATTATCTTTAGGGAAGCCAACACCCACCATGAATAGCACACATCTGGTAACTAGGAGAAAAAGCCACAAAGTTGTCACAATTTTATTTTTTAGACTACACATGGGTAGGAAGGACTGGGGAGAAATACAGGGACAGATTGATATGCAGTGTTGGAAATCCCGATTCATAAGACAACTGCTCAGAATTAAAGACAGGGAAATAAAAGACCAAACTCTCCAATCCACAGGAAGCTAATGCTGTGTTTCAGTACTTCATAACATCCACCTACCTTTATCTCATCTGCAATGAATGAATGCCTAACTCAGTCCCTTATCCAAGAAACTGGTGGGAAGGCTCATGAAATCTATGGTGATGTATGATGCATTCCCAGTTAGAACAGTCAACAAGTGCTGTTCAACACACCTGCTTAAAAACCACCTATAGCCTGGCTCCTCAAAACATGGCTGTTTAAGAAATGTGATCCCACCTGCGATTGAGTTAAGAATCTTCATTTCAACAAGATCCTTGGGTTATTCATAGGCATATTAAAAGTTGCCCCACACTGTAAATGCCTATTCTTGTCAATCCAACCTCAACCCATTTTCCAACTGTTGCAAGTTGCACAGCCCTGACCCCATAGCTCAGAGGGTTGGGCATTGTTCTACAAAGTGAAGGTCCCAGATCAATTACTTCCTGGTCAAGGCGTGTGCCCCAGGTTGCAGGCCAGGTCCCCGATTGGGGTCACTTAAGAGGTCAACTTTCTCTCTCCCCCTCCCTTCCCCTCTCAAAATAAATAAAGTGTTAAAAAAAAAAAGTTGGTCAGGTTTTCAATAGGATCTTAAGTAGAAACCACCTGGTTATTTCCCTATGCGCCCCTCCCCAACTTATTTGGAAATATTAAGAAAGTAAAAGTAAACAAAAATGATGAAAGAACCACCAGGTCCTAATTTTTCAGGTCCAGGCCCAGCAAGCTATAGCTCAAGTTAAACCAAGACAACCAAAGAACAGTTTTTACACATGTAGTTTTAAGTTTTCTGACAGAAAAAATCCTATGAAGTACCAATGTAGCCATAGTTTTATTGCAAAATAGCTAGGACTATATTATTTCTTATTGTCTAAGGCAGGCATTTTCAACATTTTGCATTCCACGTCACACAAAAATCACTAAAATTCTACGGCACATCAAAAAATATATTTTTTGCTGATGTAATAATCACAGTAAAACAGCTATTGTTGTGTTGGCTACTGTTTTTTATTTTGACAACCCAAAAGAAAAGAGATCAGTCCCTGCAACTAGTCAGGCACTGCATGTTTTAAAAATTCTTGCAGCACACCCAGTGAAAACTGCTACTCTATGGCAGCATTTGCTCTTCAGGGTAGTTTAGCTGCAGTAAGACTGTATGTCCTACAATGCTGAAAATATCTACTATGTGGCCTTTATAGACCCAATTTAATGTGAGAACTAAACAAAACTGTTTAGAGGATAATGTGAGAGCTAAACACACTGAAGGAACATTTTTTTCCCTTCTTCCAAATCCAACTGTGAAAAATTAGTTTTTTCTTCCAAAAAAAGACAAAAATTTTGAATGAAAAGTCTTAACAGTATTTTAAATCCTCACCCAAGGAGGTTTACTGATTTTAGAGAGGAAGGGAGAGGGAAAGAGAAACATCATTGTCTGCCTTCCATACATACCTGATAGAGTTCAAACCTACAACCCTTTGGTTTATGGGATGCTGCTCTAACCAACTAAGCCACAGGCCAGAGCAACTTTTTAAATCTCTTTGATTTGACAAATCCATCGTCCTTTCACACCCATTAGTCAACATGGAGACTTCTTTCTTTCTTTAAGATTTTATTTATTTATTTTTAGAGGGGAAGGAGAGAGGGAGAGAAACATCAATGTTTCTCACACACTCCCTGCTGGGAACTGGCCTACAACCCAGGCATGTGCCCTGACTGGGAATCGAACTGGGGAGCCTTCGGTCTGCAGGCCTGCCCTCAATCCACTGAACTACACCAGCCAGGACCAACATGGAGACTTCTATACTGGATGAATGTGTTCACTTAACAGTAGTGTGGCTTCCAGACACAAACCCTTTAATGCATAACTTAATATTCGTTCAGAAATAAAAAGGGGAGAAAGACCATTTAAGAATTCAGATTATGTGTGAAAACAAACACAAGTCTACCCCAGCATAGGAAAGATCAAGAGACAGATTTGTAAAGGCACCATGCACATCTTTCCTTCAAGTGTCTTTTTTTCACAAGGTTTAACTCTCTACCTGCATTCTTTTTTTCAATTAATTTTACTGGTGTGACCTTGGTTAATGAGATTATATAGGTTTCAAGTGTACATATTTATAATACATAATCTGTACACTGTATTGTGTGCCCATCACCCAGAGTCGAACCATCTTCCATCACTGTGTATATGACTTCCTTTTATTACCCTCCCAAACTCCTTTCCCTCCGGTAAACACCAAGTTGTCTTATAAATGGTCACCAGGTTTAAGAGGCATCTCAACCCCAGCTGTTTTACTTTCACAAGGGCCTTTTTGTCAGAGGTACAACAGAAAAATTGTAACAGAAGATAAAAATTATTAATCTATAAGAGCAATACTGTAAGAGCTAAAATAAAGTAGTACTCACTAAAGATTATAAAGCTATTAGATCAGTTTATCTTATGAAACAATACCTTCTCTGGCCTTCCATTCAGTCCACCTGAAGGTAACTGTCGTTCACAAAGCCACCAACCGAGCAAATCGGAATTTACTTGATGTAACTGATTAGTAATAGCCAGAAATCCTGTGCAACAATAGATCTAAAATTACAGACATAAAGTGTATGTGTATAATAATTTTCAGTAAGTGGTAAAAATTACCAAATTAAAACTCCACTTTATGTAAAAACTTAGTAACACTTAAACAGTTAGAACTGCAAACTTGGAAATGTCACAATATTATTTGGGGAAAAAAATCCAAGCATACTATTACCAGGATCCATTTTTGCAATGAAATAGTCAAAACTTCTCCATGGCTAAAATAACATTTTATATCACAACTATTTACATGTATACAATATTCTTTGACACAAGCAAATAGTTTCATTCAAAGTAGATAGAAACAAAATGTTTTCAATTGCTTAGTTAGAAACTAAGAAAAATCAAAATGTATTACAAACCCACTTATATTTGACTGGGACAGAGTTTCACCAACAGGGGAATGTATACAAAGCAAACTATTGTTTTTTTTAAAAAAAGCCTTCTTTAGCCAGCAATTAGCAACTATTGTTATTTAAAATACATTATATTACATTCAGTCAAATTAACTGCACTCATATTTAACAGAAACTAAAATTGCTATTAATGTATTTTAATCTGTATTAGTGAATTACCTGTCCAGCATGGGACTCAGAACCTGGCCTACAACCAAATCCACCATCAAAGTTCATACATGATAAAACAAATTCAATCGCCTTTTCCACATTAATAGCTTCCAGCTTCCCCTATAAACAGGAAAAAAAAATCCCTATTAAATTCCAGAGTAATCGTTAACATTAATTAATTCCAATACACTGTCATAACTTACCAATAAAGCCAAAGTTGCCACCGCACAGAAAGAAAATCTTGTATCAATTTCTCCTAAAAAAAAAAAGATCAAACCAAAACTTAAGGGTTATTAGAGGCTTCTGATCATAATACATATAAGCTGCTCTGTACAACTACCAGTTAAATTCAAGCTTAAAATTTACTTTTAGATCACAAGAAGGTAAGCTAAATCTCAAGTGAAATCATTTTACTTCTAAGGAAACTAAGAACAAGAAAAATGCTTTCTCAAAAATACAGCAAATTATCCTCAGTTGCTTATATAGTGCCCAGAAAGGTAATTTATAGACCCGAACGGACTAGTCAATTTCTAATAATAATAAACTTACCCTAGTATATAAAAGTAGATTTTCACATCCCATGAAGCAGCTGGTCTCTCCGGCCTGCACTGTATTCAGCCCTAAAGTAGAGATTATCTAAATACATTTATCAAGTAAAATGCTATTCCCTCCCTCCACTCAAATATTCAGTAAGTTTGTAAAGTTTTTGAATAGTTTTCCCTTGCCAGTAAGCAGTTTTTTAATTTAAAAAAAAAAAAAAAAAAAAAAAACTTTACAAAGCCACCAAATATTGGGGGGAAAATTCACCTACCTTATGTTTTGGACTGGCCCCCTCTGTTCCAGGGCTCCCAAATACTGATATAACTAGCACAGTGCATGCTGGAACTTCCAGCAGACTATTAACGCCAGTTAGACCAGCTGCTTAGTGGGACCTGAAAAGATGAACAGCTTAAATCTTTTATAAACCAGCAATGCTTCCAATAAACTATACTTAAAAAATATGTACAAAGCTTATCACTAAAACAAAACATTTTCATATTGGTCTTTCAGTAGCATAGATTAAACTGACATTACCCCATATATCTCCAGCAAACGAACCATCTTCTTTCTGTAGACTCTGAACATATTCCACAACTTTATTTATGTCAATAACATTAATACTATCATAGAGAGTAAGAATCTATAACCAAAACAGAAAACAAAAACATTAACTCAATACAACTTCAACCATAATAAGTTTGATCTAATGTTCTTCCTCAACTACCTTTTTACGTCATCAAGCATGTCCTTTTTTGTCTACACATATTGCAAACTTTTCTCAAATATATAAACTACCTTCTATGCAACAAAATTAAAGTATCATCAACAAACCCAAACTTTAAATTTTTCTATGTATAAATTACAACTTAAAAATGTAAGACTCTTAAATAGCCTAACTTCTGTAGACTAAACCCTTATTTATGCATCTTCTATGTCAAAATTAAAACATTTTTAACTCCACCCAGTTATTCTCAAATATTTACATATACTAAACATTTTACCATTCAAGGTCTCAGTGTGACTTTAGAATTGACATCAAATTTGAATTCAGCTAATACATGCCATGACATCATTGACCTTGTGGAATAGACTTTATTTGCAAAACGGGCTAACTTTTTTCACATACTCATTTTGTCACCTTCTTTATTTCAATGCCCTCACTCTCAGTTAAGAGCATACACTACCGTAACAGCTAAATTTAATTAGTATTTACCTGGACAGCACTCAGAGTGTACAAAAGGTGAGGATCATGTCCAATACTAGCACTTATTCCGCCACACTCGTGTTGGCATGACTTAATGAATGTTAGAATTTCTTCTCTATTCATGCGATGTAGTTGTCCCATGAGATCCATTACAGTCAGACCCCAGTAGATGCCACTCATTCTCAAATACTCAGACATACAGTATTCCTAAAATACGAATTACTTCACTGTGTCAGTCTGAACTGATGCTGGGTTAGAAACAGAACACAGAAACATTTAATCCTGTTAAAAGTTGAGTTTAAATTTGTAGCTCTCAAATTTGGGTGGGGGGGGAAGTAGAGAGCCCACTATCTGATAAGTATATAACTCACTTGTGACTACATAAATAGCACTTTAATCTTTCCCAGGAGCCAAGCAGAAGTCTAAGTCAGAAAAAGACACAAGTTTAGGGAGAACATTTCTTTCACAGTATCTACATTGGATTTATTAGGTATTCACTCTTAATACATGGACTCTGTGCAAACAATATGCACTACCTGTTATTAAGTGATATAAATACATGAAAACCAAAAGTCACAGGTAAAACATTAAAATAAAACTGGTAACAATGGCTAATCAAGGAGAAATAAAGTCTGCTATTAAAATTATTCCAGAAACAAATTTTTGCTAGTCATCAGTGCTACATTTTAAGATGTTTTGAACCATACAGGTGGGGTTATTGGTTTGCTATGATCCAGAAGTCAGGGTTTAAAGAAAGCAGCAGGTGAACAGCAGAAAAAGGCAGGAATAAGTCAAGCCCTAATCCCTTAGTCATACAGGGAGAGGGAGAGGGAAAGGAAAAAGGAAAAAAACACAGTCCCAATCCCCCCCATAATTAGTTATGGGAACCAATCACTTACAAATTTATCAATACTAGGTGTTTCCCAAGATGATAAATAACACAGCTGCTTGGACACTACAGGGAAAAATTATTTACTTTCAGCTGAGTCGTTTCCTACTTTTCAATTCTCCCAGAGGAAAACTGCTCTACATTGTTTAAAACTCAAGGTGAGTTTTTCAAGGTCTCAGCGTAATTCTAGAGCTAGTGTTATTACACATCAGCCATAAATTCAGGTAATACATGCCAACACATCACTGACCTTGAAAGTTATCACCTCAACTACCAAATTAGAAATCTATTTGGTTTCTCAAACCTCTTGTAGTCTGGGCAAGACAGTAATCTAGTTTGTCACAGCCTCTAAGTAAGCAGTGATAAGAACTATAATTCTGATGTATATTCAACCTTGATTATCTAATGGTAGTCCTCACTGCCCTTCAAAGACATTATCTTCAGTCCTTGGAATGCAGGAGTTGGATACCATTTTTAAGAAACATGGGCCATAATGACCTACCTACTGACTGCTTATGGAGAATCTGATTTCTTTGAAATAAACTTGCAACATAAAATCATACATACATAATCATCTTTCTTTGAGCCATAAGATGCAATATAATCTGCATGCTTCTCCAATAACAGGGTGTCAGGTGCATCTGACTTGATAATAACATCCTTCTGTGGTGTGCCCTTTCAAAATAAAAGTGATGACTTCATAAATGGTTATTTTTTAATGTTTGATCCCAGACCCCTCATAATGATTCAGGTATTTTTCAGGTCTCAGAGTAATTCTAGAGCTAAAGTAGTCGTAATCAACTTTAGATTCAGAATACATGCCAGCTCATCACAGACCCCAAAAATACCTTTACGTATTGCATCTTTCCCTTACAGTAAAATTAACACAAGAAAATATCAAAACTTAGCATTTCAAGACAACTTATGGTTCGCATGTCGCAAAAAGCAAGTGGGAGCACTAAAATAAAATTCACTCGAGTTTCAAAGCATTTTCTTCAAACCCCAAGTTTTAAAGCAGGTCCCTCCTCCAGCTTCAGTTTCTGTATTTGCAACCAGCCCTCAGGTAACCAGCATGCTGCTCTATTTCTACACATTTATTTTTACGACGTGATTGAGACTGCGATGTACTCGTTGTAAGTACTTCATAACGAGTACCAAAACGAATAAAGTAGTAAATCTGCTTTAGATCCCATTTAAAATTTACTACCATGCCAGTCACAATTCTTAAGACTGAGCCACAAAAAATATATACATATGTAAATGGAAGGTAAAAATACCGCCTCTTGTCCTGGTTTTGAGGAATTTAGAAATTGGGCCTTTGAATCCTGAAGCCCGCCAAACAGGAAGGAACCTGGACAAAATTAAAAGCAGCAACCAGGCCCGTGAAGTCTGCAAAAAAAGCTGAGTAATACTTCAGCCACTCTGAGCCCTTAAGAAACCTTCCAAGGCCCGTGCCTTTACCCAACCATTTTCAAATACTTGATCAACCACGCTACGATCACTGATCTGAACAATATTACCCAACCCAGCCTCCTGCCCAAACTATCCGGACAGCAGCCCAAAGCACAACCACACTCACCATGTCTGAAAGCGAAAAGGGAACTTCGACAGTTCCTGGGTGAATTTAGGCGGCAAGCGCCTGCGCAGAAACGCCAGTCAGGTCCCCTCCGAGGCCCCACTTAGTTGACCAAACTCTCGCCTGTTCCATCGCTGCCCTAGGACCCCACTGACTGCTTTTAGCTGTCTTCATTGCCTGTACCCAAAGGATTTACGCCTGGGTACAGGGGCTTTTCTCGTGTCGTAATCACATCCATTGGTCCAAAAGTTTTAAGTAATATTTAAATATCTCGATTACTTTTAAGAAGTTACTTGTTCTTAGGGCTCTTTGTACTCTAAAGATCTGATGTCGCTGGTAATTAGAGTTTTTGCACGTAGTAGGTGTTCGTTCAATGAACGTTTTTTGAGGGACTTAAGGAAATGTTCATACTCCACTTAAATTTGCCTTGTCCATTCTCTGTCGACGCCCTCTCCTTCCCCTGCCTCCTACTTCTACAGGAAGTGTTAATAAAGTTTTGGAAATAACTTTAGAAAACGGAAATATCCCTGTTCCTTTTAAAAGGTTTCCACAGCATTCAGATTTGCTGGGTGTTACAGCTGTTCTCATTTGTGCTTTCTTAAGTCTTTCTTACTTAAGCGTTTTTGAACACCAGTTAGAAAAAATTGGCAGCATATCCTCTTAAAATGTTGCATTCAGTAACAATTTGGATCCTAAGTGTATGTGTGGGCTATCAATAATTGAGAGTGTTGAATCTACGATGATAGATTTCATTGTTTCTCCCTGTAATTTTATTGATATTTCCATTTACAGTTTAAGGCTCCATTATTAAAACTGTGTTAAGTTTAGAACTAACCATTTCTGGTGAGTTGAGCCTTTTATCATTCAGTGATAACCATCTCTAACCATAATACTTTTATTTTACAAAGTCTGCCTTATTAATATTAATGTGATTTCCCCATCTTTAGCTTCTAAATCAGATGGGGGAGGGCCGTGGAGGAGTGAAAGAAACCCAGGGAGAGATGGGGTAATACGATCTCCCAGGAAAAGCAATGGTCAAAATACGACTAATACAGGCATCAGATTCAAAAACTATGATTAAGATTGAGTCAGTAATTGCTGAAGAAATGAAAAGCCTCACTTTCTATTTTATAAATTTATTGGATTTAAAATTTAAATTATAAATTTATCAGCAAAATATATATTGGATGCCAAATATTTATGTAGGTTCTGGGGAATAATGGTGAGCAAAATGGAAATATGTATAGGTGTTACTGGACTGAAGGGGTCCATTTGCCTGCACTTCTGAAAGCCCAATAACGCACCGACAGGAGTTTGCAGCAAAGAAAGTAAGGATTTACTAAGGAGATGGGGCCACCCTGAGAATCATAAGTAGCTCATGCTTAAATACCCAGCTCCCCAATGACTCCCCATCCCAGCTTCTAGGGTATGGGTTATATAGGGGAAAAATCATTTAAACATGGTGGCTAAGGGAGTTAGGGTCATTGTCAGTGTCCTGGTGTCTACTGATTGGTCATTGCTAGGGGGTAGTTGATCATTGCACCCAGTCCTGACTTCAGCCATAGCATTATTCAGTCTGGTTTTGCAAGCATGCAGTTAGTTGGGATCCTTCTGGAGCTGAAACTCAACTGAGGCCTAGGTGGTATCTCTAACTTGACCTTAACTCTTCTCTGCAGTTAACAGACCTGATGCTTTGTTCCTAATACTGTTTGAATTAGACACAAACTTCATTATCCTGAGGGCTTAATGATTAAGCAAGGGACAAGGAGGTGGGTGAATTAGGGCTAGGTGAGGCCAGTTTAACTCAAAGGGCAAAAATCAAAATAAAAAGGCAGATTAAAGAAAATAAGTTTCCTGCACATGATTACACAAGGAGCATATATTCTAAAAATTCTTCCAAATGCATTCAACGATTCTAAGTATTTCTGCTACAGATATTCTCCCTAGAATATGAAATGACTCATGTGCAAGAACAGTTATGGCTACAGTCTTTGCAATATCAAAAGATTACAAATATTTTAATTAACCAGCAAGGGTTAGATAAACTATGGTATATTCATTGTGAAGCCATTAAAAAAAGAATGAGGAAACTGCATATATTGTTTTGGGAAGATCTCCAAAATAAGTAAAAACAAAGCCAGAAAGTGCCAAGCCATGAAAGTATTAGACATGTTACTATTTGTGTGGGAAACAAAGGGCAATATGTATGGAAATATTTGCACATTCACAGAATTGCTAAGAGCATTTGCCTATAGAAGGAGAAATGCCTGAGGGCAGGAATTAAGGAAGGCTTACTTTTCACTGAATATTTGGTAATTTTAAAATTCGGTATGTTTTGCCCTTTCAAAAAATAAAAATGTCCCATCAATATTGATGAAAAACAAGTTTCATCTGTGCCTCTAGTCCTGTGCTGATCAATGGGACTGCATAGGGCATTTGAAATGAGGCCAATCTGAACTGAGACATGTTTCAAGTATAAAATACACTCCCTATTTCAAAGACTTAGTAGTAAAAATAAAATACCTCATTAACTATTTTTAAAGTATTGATTGTTTAAATGATACTTTGGATATACTGAGTTAAACAAAATACAGGGCCTCGCAGAAGTAATGCTTGCTTGAGTGTGATTGGTAGGGTAATAATATGGGTGTGATAATTTAAGTTTTAATTTGAACATTTCACCTAAAATGTCATATGGTGTGCTTGAGTATGATGTTGTGTACAAAATTATATGCTTATGATTTTATAATAAAAGATTTTTGTAGTTAAAAGGGGGCTTTAATATACAGGCCTAGACCCTGTATATTAAAATTAACTCCACCTGTTGCTCTTTACTTCTTTTTAATGTGTCTGTATGTGAGAGAGCCCTCATCAGTTAGGAATTTAATGCCCAATGGGAAGAACAGCTCTTTGAGATCCAGACCTGTAAGTTTACTTTTGGCCAGTGGCTGACGTCGTAGACTGGGAAAGTTTAAGTTCTTAATGTGTCTGAAATTACACATCCATAAAATACTTTACTATTTTTGAACAGTATGAATTAATAAATTAGATTATGCCTCAGATTAAGCAACTCTGATCTGATTAGTTTTTATTAGAGATAAACAAGTAGTTATAAATGGAATAGTCCCCAAATTAACAGAAAATTTCAAATATTAACTTCTACTACTTTGAATGAGCTAGACATTAAATGAAAAAAGTATTCTTACAGAAATTGCCAGCTCAGAAACATTTTTCAAGTTCATATAATTAAGGTGAATCTTTGGACAGATCAAAAAATTTTAGTAATTTAAAAGAGAAAAAAACAGCTATGTGTCTTCTTCTTTCCTTTTAAGTATAATACAAGTATAGTGCCATATGTGTAATTTCAGTTTATTTTTCAGTGAAAAAATTAATTAGTCTGAATTTCCTAAACATTTTATACTGATTTATTGGTCAAAATAGCTAACCTAAATCCTACATAAAGTTTGACTTTTCAAAATATTAACTTGGGCTCCATTAAATTGAATCATTTTAACTTCTAAAATTCCAATAGCGGTTATGTTTTGAATTATGTCAGACTGAAAATAATTTTTAAGATCTTTAGGAAATTTAAAACCTTGGATTGATATTGAGTGAATTTATGAATAATTATTGCACAACTACATTGTTTCATTAATACAATATTAAATCATTGATTACTGAGCATAAAATTAAGTTCATATACATTTATTTTTTATGTATCTTTTGTTTCTTATTTTTATATACTCTGGAGTAAGTTATAGCTTTGGGTGGGTCAGGTTAATAAATGTTTCTTTTTGCCACTTTAGGTTGTAAAGCGATATGTATAGCCATGTAAAATTGTGCTAATATTTAGGAGCTTTGCTGGTCTGTTAAAATGTTTATGTATGACAAACAGTTCTCAATAACCTTCCTCCAAGCTTTCTCTGTGAACTAGAAGTCACTTTCTTTGATGATCATATAATTATAATAAGAGCAATAGTGACAGAAAAATACAACTCTGTGTAGATGTTTTTACCATTTTTATTTTTATTTTTTTAATATATTTTATTGATTATGCCATTACAGTTGTCCCATTTCCCCCTTCATTCCCCTCCACCCTGCACACCCCCTCCCCCACTATTCCCCCCCTTTAGTTTATGTCCATGTGTCTCAAGTTCTTTAGATTCTATATTTCCCCTACTATTCTTGCCCTCCCCCCTATTTTCTACCTACAGTCTATGCTTCTTGTTCTTTGTACCTTCTCCCCCTTCTCTTCTTCCCACTCCCATTGCTTTGCTGGATAGAGCAATCTTGGGTGTAGGTCTTTGGATTTCATGACTTGAAATACTTCTTTCCAGCCCCTTCTTGCCTCTTAAGGTCTCTTTTAAGAAGTCAGCTGAAAGTCTGATGGGAACTCCTTTGTAGGTGACTGTTCCCTTATCTCTTGCTGCTTCTAGGATTCTCTCCTTCATTTTAATCTTGGTTAATGTAATGATGATGTGCCTTGGTATGTTCCTTCTTGGGTCCAACTTCTTTGGGACTCTCTGAGCTTCCTGGATTTCCTGGAAGTCTATTTCCTTTGCCAGATTGGGGAAGTTCTCCTTTATTATTTGTTCAAATAAGTTTTCCACTTGTTGCTCTTCCTCTTCCCCTTCTGGTACCCCTATAATTCAGATGCTGGAACATTTAAAGATCCTAAGCCTCTCCTCATTTCTTTGAATTCTTGTTTCTTCATATTTTTTCTGTTTGGTCATTTTTTTCTTCCTTCTGGCCCACTCCCTTGATTTGAGTCCATTTCCTTTCCATCACTATTGGTTTCCTGTGCATTTCCTTTCATTTCACTTAGTTTAGCCTTCATTTGTTTCTCTAATTTGTGACTAAAATCAACCAATTCTGTGAGCATACTGATCACCAGTGTTTTGAACTGTGCATCTGATAGGTTGGCTATCTCTTGGTCACTTAGAAGTATTGGCTCTGGGGCTTTGAGCTGTTCTTCTTGAGCCATAATGTTTTGGTCTGTTCATGCCTGTTACATATGAGGGGCAGAGCCTTAGGTGACCTGTGTTGCTGAATTGGGACACTGTATGTGGGGGTGGGGT